GTTTGGCAAGGGGCCCAGTGTAAAAGGGCAGAAGCCAAAGGATCTTAGTTACTGTTACTAGCTGTGTGCTGGTGAACACTGCAACTAATTATCACAGACCATAGCACAGAAAGAAAAAAAGTCACTTTAAACAGAGGCCTGGAAATTAGAGAGAAAAGCCTTTTATGTGAATAAAATGCCCTTAACCCGTAGTAGAAAAACTGAACTTGAACCAAGATCTGCTGAGATGGCAGCTAGTTCAGATGAAGAATTTAATGGGGAAGAGGAAAGATTTTCCTCAGCGCAAAAGGAAGAGTCCTCTGGAAGAGATTTATCAGATCTCAGGAAATTGGAATTAATACAAGCACACAAATTCAGAATGAGGCAATTAGAACTGGAGAAGGAGGAAAGATCAGAGAGAGAGAGAATGTCTTTTGAAATTAGGAGATTGGGACTAATGAACCAGAACAATAACAACAATAACCGAAATTCCAACTCTGAAGAAAGGCAGTTGTCAAAATCAGATTTAAAGAAATTCCCTTCTTATAAACAGGGAAACTGTCCCGAAGCATTTTTAACTCTTTTTGAAAGGGCATGTGCAGATTTCTCTGTCAGAGAGTCAGAGAAAATGATAATTTTAAGATCTCAAATTAGTGGGTGTCTGGCTGAAGTCTACGCTGACATGCCAATCAATTAAATTAAAAATTATTCAGAATTTAAAAAGATGGTGTTTGCTAGGCTTGGCATAAATGCAGCACAGCTGAGACAGAAATTCAGAACACTATCAAAGAAACCAGATGAATCTTGCACACAGCTTGGTGCCAATGTAGTTAAGTGTTTAGATAAGTGGTTAGCGCAAGTAGGTGTGCAGACAATTCAACAATTTAAAAATAGTATAGGGTTGGAACAGCAGAATTTAAAAAGATGGTGTTTGCTAGGCTTGGCATAAATGCAGCACAGCTGAGACAGAAATTCAGAACACTATCAAAGAAACCAGATGAATCTTGCACACAGCTTGGTGCCAATGTAGTTAAGTGTTTAGATAAGTGGTTAGCGCAAGTAGGTGTGCAGACAATTCAACAATTTAAAAATAGTATAGGGTTGGAACAGTTCTATTCTCTTACATGGTGAAATTAAATACATGGTGAAAGACAAACGACCGTCAGATGTTAAATAGGCAGCTGAGATTGCAGATTTCATTTCCCAAATTAGAAAGCCTATGTATTCTGAGGGAAAAAAGATGAGGAAAACATGGGAGGACAACACTAGATATTTCAAAGGGCAAGCTAAGAGCCAGCAGAAATTGGGCGGCCATTTTGTTGGAAAACCTTCAGAACAGGGCCAAGCCAAGAGCCAGATTTTGGAGGGAAAAGA